CTGTGGGAAGCCAGCCATAGCCCACTGGCTTTTTGAAAGACAACATTTATTCCTTTTTAAGGACTGCACGTGTTAAACTTGTTTTGCCCTGCACGGGAGAAACCCAGACAGCCAAAGATCTGTAGGAGTCAGGTGTTGTTAACTCCATTTTTGTTATGTTAAAGATCTGATGTTATCTATAGGAGCAGGTATTGAGGTTACTATGGTAATCCTAGCCCATAATAGTTCGGTCTTTTTTTTTAAAAGGCTGATGCCTGCCTGCAATAAACGTCGCCTTGATCAGACTCTTGTCTTGGCGTCCTTCCTTTCTCTCTGCCCCATCTCCACCCCGCTGCTCTTTCAGGTTTGAGGCACTGCGGGACAGTGCTGCGTCGCCGGTTGGGCGAATCCTCTCGCTCGTCCTGGGCCCGCTGGCTTCTTCTCCGCAGGACCCCACCACCACCTCACCACCGCCGCCCCACCAGCCGGACCAGGAGGGATTCTCAGGGGAGGATCGAGCGGCTGCTGCCAGGCCCTCCCTGAGGAGGGGCAAACTGTGACTCCCCACAGCCGGGCACAGGCAGAGCAACCCCGTTAAGCCTTCTCTTCTTCTGAGAAGCTGCAGTCCGGAGTCTCTGCTGGGCAGTCGGGACTGGAGTGGGGACCCAGGATTCCGGGCTCCTGGTGCCGGTTCAGGCCTCAGCGCGGCCGGGCTTTCCCATCCCACCTCTGCCGAGGGATTCTGGGCTGTGGGCCCCACAGGGTGACAGGGGCCCTGCAGGGGCTCTGGGGACCTCACGGTCGGTCCTCGTCTTGCGCCATCAGAGGGAGGACTTGCTTGATCCCGGACGTGGTAACAGGGTACCATTGTAGGGAGGGTGGCTCGGCTGTGCCAGGCCATGCCAGTGTCCAACTCGCGGCTCTATAAATGAGCCGCTGTCATCAGCCACGTTTCGCAGACGGAGAAGGTGAGAGACGGCAGCTCAGCCCCGAGGCGAAGCCAGCGCCCGGAGGCCGTGAACCCAGCAGCGGGGAATTCCACGTAGCAGATCAAACGTCGAATAAAAAGCTTCGCATCACCTCCTTTTCCGGTGGAAGGAAAGCTCGACGATGTTAATAAAGAAGAGCGAGCGCGGCTGGAGCCGGAAAGAAGAGGCCGCCCCGCGCCCGGCCTGCGGCGTGGACCTGGACTCCCGCGCGGGAGGAGGCGGCAGGAG